TATTATACACCAACAGCTGAGGCTACAGTACTCTCAAATCCCTTTATTTGAAATGTCTGGGACAGGGAGACAGCCTAGGGGGTCCCTCAACCAAGTGTCTACCCTCCCCCCACTTTAGTCTGGTCTGAATCTATTGTTCACCAGTATCTCTGAATTTTGGCAGGAGGGAGGGAGGAAACCTTCTGTCGTCTCCCTTCCTTTATTCTTCACGCTGTAAACAAAAACTAAAAGAAATGATCAACCTACAAACCAATGTACTCTTGTGGTTTTAGAGATAGTTCAGTATACTGGTTAGAGTAGTGACTAAGACCCCGGGTGCATGGGTTAAATCCTTACTTATCCTTGCAACTCCCCGGGTAGCCTCAGGCCACTCCCACACTCTCAGCATGCTCTACACCACAGGGTTGTCGTGAAGATAAAGGGAGGAGGGAAAGAACTATCTATGCTGCCCTCCACTCACTGCATTCAAGACAGGAAGAAAATAAATAGATAGGTGGGCAGGCGGATGGACAGAGAGACAGGCTGATTGATGAATAGAGTGATCATTAATTTATTGCTAAACCATATGGAAAAATCTGAGGGGGGTGTCCGTGTATGATCAGACTGAGTCCCGTTTGACTTCTTCCCAGGCTGTGTTCTTGCTCTACACGTGGGAAGCACTTAAAAGGAACAAGATTAGAATACGACACCACAGGGTTGTCGTGAAGATAAAGGGAGGAGGGAAAAAAACTGTCTATGCTGCCTTCCACTCACTGCATTCAAGACAGGAAGAAAATAAATAGATAGGTGGGCAGGCGGATGGACAGAGAGACAGATTGATTGATGAATAGAGTGATCATTGATTTTTTGCTAAACCAGATGGAAAAATCTGAGGGGGGGGGGTGTCCGTGTACGATCAGACTGAATCCCATTTGACTTCTTCCCAGGCTGTGTTCTTGCTCTACACGTGGGAAGCACTTAAAAGGAACAAGATTAGAATACGTTAGCAAAAAGAAAGGCTCAGCATTATCTGAAACACACACACACACACACACACACACACACACACACACAGAATGACATTCAAAAGGGATTTGCACACTACAAAGCCCTATATGTGGATTCTCGGCCAGGAAACCTTTAAAGCATCAAAAATATTAATAGTGAATTAGGGGGAGGATAAGAACTGAAGGTTCGAAGGGTGGAAGCACAGACAAAGCAAAAGGAGGGTAAGCATGAAAAGTCGTGTGCTGTGGGTGCAAGCTGACAGTTGTGACAGACAGTGATTTGTTTTTCCTTTTAAAAACATGAGACGTGAAGGTCTTCCATCTGGAGCATTCACTCTCCCTTGTTTTTCTTCTCCCTTAAATTCCCGAACAAGCTCAAACGGAATTTCAAAGGCTCTAGCATCCGTATGTGCACAGATTAGTGAAGAGAAGACCTTAATTAAAATGTTGCACAGAATGCTTTCCAGAGGAATAATGCTAAGAAAGTGTCTTAAACCAACGCGCCGCTTCTGTGTGCGGATGCAGGAGACGAAAAACGGAGCGCCTTGTCAAAATCAGCCCCGTCAACCTCAACAAGTGACGGTGCAGACGTCCTCGGCTTAACATACCTGGAACACTCAAGGGGGCAGTGGGCATATCTCAGAAAAGCTACAGCCCCCAGCTCTCTGCAACCAGCATGGCTACCGTATCAACTATGTAAGAGAAGTCAATGTAGTTTTTTCCCCCATTTTTATTTATGCAAAAGAAAACGGACATAAGTCTGTAATAGAGATCAGGATGAACCAGTTTGTCCCAGTTTGTAAATGCAGCAGTACAAACCTCCCTCGCCTGTCCAGCCGATCCCCAGGCCCAGCTTGCTTTCTTTTCCCCACCTCTTTGGCGAATCTCCCAGTCATGAGCAAGAGCCCAGACTTCTCTGCCCCGCCCTTTTGTCTGATTGGAAGAGCAAGCAAGGGGGCGGGGCAGAGAACCCCGACCTGCTGCCAGGACTGGAAGATCAGTGGAAGAGGTGCTGCTGCCTTTACGAACCAGAACGAACCAGTTCGTGCCCATGGCTAGTCTATATCAAACAAAGTACGCATATAGAATTATAAAAAAAGAAAGTCTCTTCTCTAGCAATGCTAATTGAGAACAGTCCATCCGACTCTAGCACAATATGTTTCAACCTTTTTCTAATCCATGACTCTTTCTGGTCAATGTAAAAACTACATGCCTCTCCTTCAAGCCTGTGTCTGCCGATAATTTTATGTGAAAAAGTATAACTCAGATTAGGAGACGAAATGCAGAAAGGTGAGAGAGCATTTTGCTCTCCCTGAACTTAAATCTAGGACTGCCATGGAGGGAAAGGACTGGGCGATGGGAGGGGGTGAGTGAGGGGCATGAAATAATAATAGTTTTGATTGGCTGGGGGTGAAACTAGATAAGGAGGGAGGGAGAGTGCATTAGGGGGCTAATCCTGAGTCTGATACAGGGCAATCTGGGGTGGAGAGATTGGGAAGAGGGTGGTTTTAGAATCTGGGGGTCTGAGAGAGAGGTGAGGACGGGGGATCATAGAGTGAAGGGTTGTGTCGAATAAATTTAAAGCCAAGGAATAAACAAGGAATTTAACACAGTAATTTTAATAAAACCTTAATTGTTCTATTTAGGCTAAGTGGTGCTGAGTTCAATAGCTGAGGGCTGGCTACATGAAGGGTGTTAGGAGGGCCTCGGTGAAGGGTTAAATGCTGCCATACATAGGGACATCTAAAGTTAGGTAACAGTGAGAGAGGAAGAGAGGAAACAAGATTATTAAAGAAAACATGTTTATTCCTGTCGTGATTTAAAAGGGCCATTTCCTCAATAGTTGAGTGAGAAGACAAAGGGACGTTTGACATTGGCGTCACAGGGAAGAGGTGTGAACAAGACACAATCGCCTGGTTGAGAATCCCCGCTGTAGTATGACTGACCAAATCCTTAAGCCGGGAAGCCAAAGGATTGAGAACTGTCAGAGATACAGTGAAGAACACAGGAGTTTGGTGGAATTCAGCCAGGCTCTCAAGAACATAAGAGCCTGGATGAATCACATCCAAACTTCTATCTAGGCCAGTATCTTCATCCTCTACCTGGTCAGATGACTTCAGAAGAAAACTAAGTTTTCTCCCACCACCTGTAACGACAAGCGTACCACTTCTGCATAGAGCGGCTCTATCCAGCTAACCTGTACGGCATAGGAAGACAATCCACGAGCTACCAAAGCATTCCAGAGCACATGAAAAAGCAAAGTGAGGCAAAGCACAGCAAAGCTGGCTGGATAGCTCAGTGACTTATGCATCTGGCTGCAGAACTAGAGGCTGGGAGTTCGATTCCGAAATCCTGGCCAGCAGAGGTGGTGGTGAAGGCTTCTGGGAGTTGTAGTCGAAGAACATCTGGAGGCCCAAGGTTGGGGAACACTGCTACGGCATAGGAAGACAATCCATGAGCTACCAAAGCATTCCAGAGCCTATGAAAAAGCAAAGTGAGGCAAAGCACAGCAAAGCTGGCTGGATAGCTCAGTGACTTATGCATCTGGCTGCAGAACTAGAGGCTGGGAGTTCGATTCCCCAGTGTGGGGACAGAACCAGCCTCGGTAGCCTTGGGGAAGCAGTAGGGTCCTAGGGCTCCACCAGGAGAAGTAAATGACTTCTGAGTCCTCTGAGAAGGGTCTCCATAAGTCAGAAATGACTTGATGGCACACAATTATAAAAAACTGCTGGATAGTCCAGTGGTTCCGGCCTCTGGCTCCAGAGCCGTAGGTTGAGAGTTTGATCCCTCATCGTGCACACTATGGCACACAATTATAAAAAAACTGCTGGATAGTCCAGTGGTTCCGGCCTCTGGCTCCAGAGCCGTAGGTTGAGAGTTTGATCCCTTATCGTGCCGCTTTGACAGGGGCTGGAGTCGATAATCCATAGGGTCCCTTCCAGCTTTGCAGCCCTAAAATGATGATGATTATAAAAGAAAAAGGGGAATAAATTCAACAAAAATAACAGCTTCTGTTCCTGGAGGCCTTCACAATCTCTGCGTCGTTGCTATTGTTGCCGTTTCTTTTGGTTATTTTGCTGTATGAGTGGGCAAAAAACATTGGAAACAGCCGTCCAGTTAGGTTTTGCTTTACAATTGGTGGCCGATTCCAACCTTTTTTTTCAGACCTGGGGACAGCCTGCAGTGAGACAGCAAAAGACACCGGACGCCTTTCAATGTGGCCCACCCCTCCCCCGCTTGCTAGAAGAAAAGGAAGCCAGGGTTGGACCCTAAACAGCTCAACGAGGAGCAGACACACTCAGCAACCACATGATGTTGGCTGACCATTTAAGGTCAAGAGGAAACTGGGGCAGGGAGGTGAGTAAGGAGGGAATAGAATGGAATATTCTGGAAAACAAAGATGGCTGGCTGGACCCTTGAACAAGAACATGCTTTGCTGCAACTTTCTGTTGCAGCACTCCCTGGCCTTGAATAATGCCCATTGTTACACCTATCCTGCAGGGATGGGGACTTGAGATTTGCTGTCAAATTGGTGACTCGACTCATTTCCCCCCCCCCCCAAGGATTCAAACTCAACTTGCAACTTGGAGCCCACCTATCCTTCCCTTTATTCTGGGGGGCAGAGCAGATAGCTTGTTTTTCATAGGGACTTGGACTTGGTACCGAAGATTCGAAGCTGGACTTGGGACTTGGTACCAAAGGCTTGGATTCAGACCTGGGATTCGGACCTCAACATCCCTGTTATCCTTCCCCTTTTAAAGCCTTGTCAGAGTGAGCTGCTGGTGTCACAAAAGCCAAGTCTGTATTCTTAGACACTTCCTTTCTTTTGCCTTTCTGCAGTCTCTACCCAGGAGGAGGAAGGCTCTTTTGACATTCAACAGCTCCCCATCTCTCTCTCTCTCTCTCTCTCTTTCTCTCCCCCCCTTTCCGACGGGAGAAAATTCAGGAAGGAAGGCTCCATTACCTAGCCTGTGTCCAACTTTGCCTTGTGAGAGCACAAAGCGACCCATTTACCTTGCCAGCCTCTTTCACTCGGCGGCTTTGCAGAACACTGGGCGCTCTGTTGATGGATTTTCTCCCCTCACAAAAGGTCACTCCTTCTTCCCCTTGTTTTCGCTGAAGCCGCGCTCCGGCTTTCTTTAATTCTCCAACCGAACAGCGGCTCCTCAGCAGAGAGGATGTATGTAGGCACAAAATCACGGTCTTCTTTTAACCCTGAGGGAAAGAAGTAGAGGGCTTTATTGGATCCAGAAGCTGGCAGCTTCACCACCTCAATCCAGGAAGAGCCCAATGAAGAATCAACGGTTTGGATGAGAACTCCCATCATCCTTTCACGGCTGATCCTGTTAGCCTGGGCTAATGGGGTGGGAACAGATATCTGGGAGGCATCAAGCTGAAGGAGTTTTCCTTCCCCTAAAATGTGTTATTGGGAAAAGGCTTAGGTGCAACATGGATGTACAGAGGGAAACAAGTTATCCCCTTAACACATTTCTACTTGAAACAACTATTCCTACCTAGATTTCTGTTCCCATAGAGGATGATGTGTGGTGTAGTTATTGGAGTGTTGAAGGGTTCTGGACCCCAAGAGGCTAAGAAACATATGGGTTGACCTTGGTGTTGGTTATGTCACCTCATTTCTACCCACACCGCACAGCTGTTGCCAAGATCAAGAGAGGAGAAGGACAAGCAGGTATATCGCCTTAAGTTAACCTGCAAAAAAAGTGGGATACCCACGTCACTGCTACACACCTGGCCAAACACTCCACAGGTGTAACACACAGGGATCCATCTTCCATTACTGCAGTGTCTCTTCTCGCTGCTCAACAGCACTTGCCCGTTGCTTCTGGCAGCTCTTTCGCACTATCGGTGGACAAGGCTCAGCCCCGACCCCACGAGGGTTCAGTCGGCAGACACATCATCTCTTGTGACAAATGACCAGGAAATGGGGAGAGGCAGCATCTCCACGCCCCGATGAATCCCTCTGTTAGTTGGTTGGTGAGTTGATGTGCCGCCTGCCACTCCCTAGGTGATTCACAGTAATTAAGACCATAAAATACCGTACAAAATTCTACATTAACAACCTATGAAACGTTGACAAGGGGAAAATAGCAAATTTTGAAACGTTTTCAAAAGCTTTTTAAAATATCTCAATTTCATAACTGGAACACTCCCTAGGATTGCTTGCTTAAAAGCTGACCTGAAAAGGGAGGTCTTTGCCTGATGAGAGATGGGTTAAAGTTAGAGATGGCCATGCATCTTTGGTTCGGCAGTTCGTGCCAGTTCGTTTAGCAACTTTCCAACCCCACCTCTATTGGCAGACACCCACTCAGAGACAGGAGCCAGGCTTCCGTGCCCCGCCTCCTTTGAATGCTGCCTCTGAGTGGGCACCCAGCAGAGGAGGCGGGGCCTGGAAGTGCCGAACACCTGCTAGGCTGCTAAACGAACCAGCAGTTCATGCCCATCTCTAGATTCGAATATAAAGCAGCTGTGATCCTGTTTCATGTACTGGATAGAGCAGTAGTTTCACAGAGTCAGGGCTTGCAGGATCAAAGTCTCCAGCCCTTCTGAATAGCACGGAGCGTGACATCATTAACTGGACTGCTCCGGCTAATCTGTTTCCTCCAGCTTAGCTAAAATCCTCACAGTAGCTGGGTGAGAAAAAGTTTTTTTCTCCAAAACAGCATATTCTTGCAAGCTACCACGATCATAATGCAAATTGGTGGCTTGCTCTCAAATTAGCAGTTAAAAGCCATTAGCTTTGCAAAAGCCTTCTCTTTATTTTATTTTTTTTCATATGAGCTAATTTGCAGAGTCCTGAAGACTGTAACAATGAGCCTCTGCAGTTGCAAATGTCCGAGTCCATCACTGGGCACGAGAAATGCCTCTGGGAAGCTTACGAACCAGAGGTAGAAGCAAGGCTCCAAGCCCTTTGAGTATGCTGTTTCCATTGTCCGGTGTTCGACACATTTTCATTGAGCGGGGATTGCTCTCTGCTACTGGTAGAGAGGTAGAAGCAAGGCTCCAAGCCCTTTGACTATGCTGTTTCCATTGTCCATTTTCATTGAGCAGGGATGGCGCTCTGCTACTGGTAGGCTACTTGTGACCATCCCAGACATTCTGAGTGCTTTTCAACTTGCCATTTAGAGGATACTCTGGTGTGTGGGGGGGAAGGCCTGTTTTATGTCTGAAAGGACTTGTTTTCAGTTCTGCAAACTGTTTTCAAAAACTACTCGTTTTCTGGTTTCAGGGGTGACAGCTTGTAGAGATCCAGAGCGTGTGTCAACCGGAGGTGGCCATGGCCCCTCTTAGTAGTTTCCCCACCCCTGCATTGAGCATTTTCATTAATCGTGATCTGGGCTCTGCTTTGGTTCTCTCCTTTTTTCAAAACCTTACAAAAACAAACTTGCAGCAGAGTTCAGAGATGTTACTCCTTTTTTGGAGGACACGGACGGAAGACGGGAGTAGAACCATGGATTTCATTCCCTATAAAGTGACTTCCTATTTCAGGTAGGATGGTTAATCCTCCTTTCCAACCAACACCATCCTAATCCTGCTTGAGCCCCCAGCATGGAGGCTGTGGTTGAAAGGGAAAACAGATGAGTCCAGGGCATTCACTCGTGAGCCTCAGAATCCTGGCCAGCAGAGGTGGTGGTGAAGGCTTCTGGGAGTTGTAGTCCAAGAACCTCTGGAGGCCCAAGGTTGGGGATCACTGCCTTACAGCACTGTGGCTTTTGGGAGTATTAAACACGATGCCAATCTCCCAGTGGCCCTCTGATAAACAGAGTTGCCCATAACAGCTGTACAGACAGAAGGAACCCAACTGCACGTCATCCTTTTGACCCACCTCTTCTGCCTTGCATTAGAAACATTCATTTTCATAACCTCCCAGGGCTGACGGAGGGAAACTACTTCCTCTAAAGAGATTAGAACAGTCTCCCCTTGCTCTGTCCTCCCGCCTCGCCATGTCTCTGCCTTTTCTTTTATATCCACTGTCAGAAAGCTCTTTGCTTTTGTAGACCGAAGAGCAGAAGTCTCCGCTTGTGCTGCGGTTGGGCCGGTGGTGGCACGTCTGTTTGCCAACGGAGAAGGCTGCCGGTTGCCTGTTGCCAAGTATGCTGGTGTCAGCACAGCAAACAAACAAACAAACAAAAAATCTCTTGGCACTGAGAGAAGAAGAACAGCGTGGTAGCAGGGTGCTCGTGCTGGCAGGAGAGAGAGAGAGAGAGAATCTGCTGAAAAGCAACTGGGCTGCGATCCGTGAACCATCAACAGTCAGAGACCAATTGGGTTATATTTTCTGCATCTGATGGATAGGTGCATGAATGTGCGTGCATGAATGAGAGACAGCACATTGTTTTTAAAAAGTATTCAGAAAACTTTGGTGCGTGCTTTTTCTTTTGATTATGACTTGAGCTCCCTTTGGTGCAGAAGGATGATCCTTGTGGGTTTTAATATTTAAATAATGGTCTCAGTAATCTTCACGATACTCTTGTAAAGTACATCAGCCACACCAGCCCATATCACAGGTTATCTATATTCAGAGAGCAAGAGCAAACCCCCCATGAAGCAGGGGAGAATTTCACCCTGAACTTGGAACAATCATTTTTTTCTCTTTCTGTGTTTCAGTGCCTATCGTCCCCCACTGCTGAGTGGGAGAATCTGGGAGTTGTTGTCCAAAATGAAAGTTTCTCAAGCTTTGTGCTCTCTCAGGCAGTGTGGGATATCCTGCACAGTCCTGGGAAAGGTTCACAAAAACCATAAACGTACTGGCGAATATTCTGTGAACAATTCCAAAGCACTAAACGTAGTGACAGTCGCACAGTTGCCAATTACTGCCAGCGGTAAGGCTTTGTGTGATGATTCCAGTTGTTAGACCTTAAGGGATCTGGGGCAGGGGGTTGGGAGGACAGAACATGTCAGCAAACTTGGCTGACCATCCTCCCTATACAATGTTGTCACTGCATGCTGAAAGTTTGCTTCCTTTTGAAAGGATGCTTCGAAGCATCCAAAAACATCAATCATGGAAAAGGCAATTAATTCAACTGAAGCAATTGAACTGAACTTGTTTCTGTGCATCACCTCAACAAGGCGGCAGCAGAAACATGTTAGCAAGGCAAGTGCGAGTGCAGAAGGAGACACAACCCCATGTTCCACCCGCACCACAAAGCCCGTGCCCAAGTTCTCCAATACATTCAGAACTGTCTTTCTCTGCCTCTCACCTGGACCACCTTATGCCTTAGTTCTCAGCTACAGCTTCTTCTCTTTTGGACTGCTTATTCTTCCACCAGAAATCCCCCAAAGCACCAGCCGTTCGTATTTCTTCCCACAACTCATGCCAGGTGGACTGACAGGACTTTCTAGCAGCGGGAACAGCTTTTGTAGCCAGGATCCCACCCTCCCAAGAGATGTGGGCAGGCGGTGAGAGAAGGAGGGTGCTAGATCTTGCAGGGCTCATATTACACAAGTATTTTCTTCATGTAATGCAAAGCTAATAACTACAGGCCGAGCAGGCAGGCGCTGGGGTACGGGCACCAGGCGGGGGCCATCCGTAAATGTCACCCTGCTGCTGCCGCCTCATTTTGCAGCTCATTAAACCCAATATTCCTAACCTGTATTAGCGCATCAGGGACAGCGCCCGCCCCTTCCTTCCCTCCCTCCCTCCCTCCCTTCTGGGTTTATAGCTCTCAGAATCTTCAACCAGCATGAAAATTAGACATTATAATCCAGGAAAAAAAGAACAAGCAGCCGTTGTTATTTCCCAAGTTTTGTCCTAGAGAAAAAGAGTTCGGGTTTCCCAAAGACACAGGGTAATTTTTCCCTATCTACTGTCAAGCTAGTGTGTGTGCTGTTAAGTTACTTTCCAGGGTTCCCTAGGTACAGAATACTCAGAGGTGGTTTACCCTTCCCTTCCTCTGTGGATGCTCTGGGACTCTGCAGCTCGCCCAAGGCCACTTAGGCTGGCTTTTCTCCTGGCAGGCACAGTGGAGAATCAAACTCCCAATCTCTAACTTAAACCACTGAGCTATCCAGAAAATTAGTTCTGGAGGATGGCCTTAGAAAGAAACCTTTCCCCCAGCATTCTTGTTCTCATCAAAATTGTACCAGACTCTCCCCTACATCACAACTGGAAGGAAGGAAGGAAGGAAGGAAGGAAGGAAGGAAGG